ATTTACACGGTGAATATTGATGTTTTAAGTAATTCGACCCGTTTAAAGAATGTTATGAGCTGTATGCATAAAACATGCATGCATTAACTCGATTATATTATGTAGGAGTGTCAAGGGCTCGCTTGTAAGTGTTGCAGGAGCTCTTTGTAAAGGTCAGAATGGTTGAGCATGGAGGCGGCCATGTTTAATCACATCCTCGGTCCAGCGACACACACAGGAGGCTTCATTGTCCTCTCGTTGACCCACAGAAATGTTCTCTAGCATTTCTACAACCTCATATAATAACCTTAAATAATTCCGAATAGTTGTCACTGAGAAAACTCAGAATAATTTTCTCAAGTTAACAAAATACAAGACTCGGCAGCACGTGAGTAGCAGGCCAGCTGTTTGTTCTGCAGAACTTGCCTCAAAATACCAGTTACTGACTACTATTAAACCTTTTTTACATTTTCTAAAGTGGTGCTTGTGCAAATCTCTGTCACTATTCTAGTGCATTGCTATGCAGTTGTTATGTGGCTATAGATTTCTCAATGAGGAAATAGATTTTGAACTATATCTTATAAAGCATTAACAGACAGGCCTACTGTGAGCTACAAGATGGTTAAACAATAGTAAATGCTTTTATTGAAGCCGTCAGCCCATTTATTTTTAACGTATTTTTCAAGTAATAGTGTTTAACAGCAAACTTTCTGGTGAAAAACTACATTACCCATGATTCTGTAGCAAAATCTCCACCAATCAGAGAATCATAACAAAATGAAGCGCTCAAATGATTTGATTCAGTTTCCCTGCACTTGTAATTTGTGTAAATATGCATATTTCGCAATAAATGTAACTGCTGCTTCTATGTGTACAATCGGCATATTTAAATCAATAGTTCTATATTTATCCATCTTTTTATGTCACTGGAGAGGCTTCATGGGATTGTAGTTTATTCCCCCATTAAAGCTGTTAAGTACAGACTTGTACCTTTGTATTTTTGTCCGATCTTCAAATACTTTTTTGCTTCAAATCAAAGTTTGTTTGACTCATCTCCCATTATATAGGCTACTTGATTTCTTTTTAAATGTCTTTGTCTCTGTCCACTGAGTCTAGTGAACTACTATCACAAGTCTTTAAAGGGGTCATATGATGCTTTTTT